GGGGGGAGCAGGGCAGTGCGGTAGGGGAAGAGACAGTAAAAGGATACAGACTCGTCAAAGGTGACGTCCTGAGAGGCGAAGACACGGCGCGAGGTGGGGTGGTAAAACCGCCAGCCAGGCGCGTGAGGGACAAAGCCCAGGAAGACACAGGGAACTGCACGGGAGGAGAGTTTGTCCCCAGACGTGTCGCGGACAAAGGCTCGACATCCCCAGACTCGGAACACCGACGCGTCGCCAACCTCCCCCGTCCGACGCAGGGTAGGCGAGGTCTCCGGAACGGAGACACGGGGCCAGAGGTTGAGCTCATGCGCGGCGTACTGCACTGCAAACGGCCACAGGAAATGGGGGGCAGTCGCATGGATCATGGAGGTACGAGCGACCTCCATGACAAGACCAATGCGGTGCTCAGCAACCCCATTTTGCTGTGGAGAGGCCGGGAGAGTGAACGTCTGGCGGAGGCCGTGCTCCGCACAGTAGGCTGCCAAGAGGTCAGAGGAAAACTCGCCACCTCTGTCAGAGTGCAGACGTAGGACAGGAAAGTCCGACTGGAACCGCTAGCGGAGCTGGAGACGAGCAGCGCGGATCCAGGGGATCAAGACATTAGGGACCTCACCCTTGGTACGCAAGGGGAAGACCATGGTGTAGCGCGTGTAGTCGTCGACGACCAGCAGAATGTACCGCTCGTGGCCCTGTCCCTGAACGCGGGCGGGGCCCCACACGTCCAGGTGAAGAGTCTGCAAGGGAGCCTCTGTGGGAGGGAACAAGGAGGAGTGAGGAGCGGCACGTTGCCGCCCCTCGACACAGGGAAGACAGGGAGGAGCAGGCGAGGGTGGGAGGGGAGGGAGAACTCTGGGAAGACCAGAGACAAGGTACCTGGAGTGCATGCTGCGAAGGCGCTGCACTGACGATTGACCAAGGCGGTGGTGCCAGAGGACCGTCCTGTGCGACAGGGAGCGACACAAGCAGGGGGCCGACAGCTGACCTGACGCAGACGCAGCCGCAGCTATCTCAGGGGACTCAGTGGTCAGGTTGTACTAGTCCGGCCCCGGCTGCCGAGTAAAGGTAGCCAGGGGGCGGCCCGTCCGGGCACACGTGCAGTGCGTCGCACGCTCGTAGGCCGGGGTGAATTGGTGAACACCCGCATCCTGGAGTGCGGAACCCGCCACCAAGCCCGTAGAGAACAAGGGGCGGTAGAGGCCCGACAGCGTGCCAGACGGGACAACACGACAAGGGAGGGCAGTAGTGGAGGTCGCAAGGAACGGACCCCCTGAGGGGTCAGCCAGGGAGGCAGCAACCGGTCTAGGGAGCTGCTCTAGGGTAGTGCGGTCGCGAAAGAAATAGCGGGAAGCACTTGAGTCCAGTGTGAAGGTGTGAAGTGCCTCAGTAGGTGCGGTACTAGCAGACGCAGACGCACTAGCACCTAGGGCAGCAGCCTCACCAGGACCTAGAGCAGCAGACGCACTAGCACCTAGAGCTGCAGCCTCACCGGTCTCAATACCTGGGTCGGGCGGTACACTCAAGTAACAGTCACCCTCAACACTAATACTCAATGCATACATAGCAGCAAGGATAGCATCATAATCAAGAGCAAAGATATCAATTCCCTTCTTAAGCAGATCAGCCCAGCGGGGCAGCTCAGAGGCGTCAGGGAACTGCTCACACCAGGCGTCGTCGAGGCGAAAGAAGCACCGCTGTGCCGTGTGGAACCTCCCACAAGTCTGGCCAGTGCGGTCACCTGTGCGGATGATGTACGAGCAAGTACCCCCACCCCCAGACCCCCCACGCTGAGAGTACCACTCACGGAGCTGCTGGGGCGAGGGAGTCTCACCGGGACTCTGCTGCTGCTGCCTCTGGCCACCGCCAAACCCCCCCCGTTGTACCGCTCCACCGCGCCTGCCACCCGCTTTACCGCCGCCACTACTGCCACCACCACCCCCACCACCTCCACCGCCGCCGCCTCCACCATCCCTTGAGCCGCCACCGACCCCCCCACCACCCGCGCCACTCCCACCTCCTCCACTGCCCCCGCCCCCTCCACCCCCTCCACCACCGCCGCCCCCTCCGCCACCTCCACCACCCCTGCCCCCCTTGCCCTTGCCGCCCTTGCGCCTCCCACTAGGAGCAGATGCAGCCCCGACCCCCTCAGCTCCGAGGAAGTCGACAGCAGCAGGAGAGGCAATGGAGCGAAGGAGGGGGACGGGAGATCACCCCTCAAAGAAGGGGGCGCGAGGGTCGCCACGAGAGGCACCTACAGCTACAATGCTCTTCTCAGCTGCTAGGAGTTCCTTCTCGAGGAGGTCGACTGTGAGGTCAGTGGGGGAGAGGGCTAGAAAGTGGTCCCTGACTGTGTGAAGGGAGTCGGGGAGGCGTGTAACAAGGTGGTACAGTGTGAGGTACATCAGGGGGGGGGGTTCTTGGCGAGGAAGTCTGTGGGGAGTGCGGCACGGTAGCGGAGGTCACTGGTACGGAGGTGGGTGATGAGGTCAGCTATAGTGGTAAAGGCGGACAGGTCGGGGAAGAGGTAGGACAGTGAGAGACGACCTATAGCAGCAGTGGCAGGGGAGGAGTAGTGCGCGACTACTGCATCGTACAGCTCCTTAGCGGTCTTATGCTGGCCTAAGTGCTCACGCTCATCTACCGGCAGGTGACTGCGAACGGCTAGGCGGTCGTGAGCTTTACGAGTTTGCCACTGCGAGCGAGCAGTACTGTCAGCAGTAGCGGGAGGTGCGGGAGCAACGCCTGACGTGTGGTCGTACAGTGAGACATCGTCCTTGGTAGTGACCTGGAGGAACAGGTGGAGGTCATCAAGCCAGACATCAAACTTAATCGGGCGGCCCTCGGCGTCAAAGGTGAGAATAGTGAGACTAGCCATAGTGGCAGGAGGAGGAGTAGCAGTAGCAGTAGCAGTAGCAGGAGAAACAGTAGTAGTAGTATGAGTAGCAGTTGCAACAGAAGGTGCTGCAGGTGGGGCGGCGCGGCTCGGTAAGGGCGGCGCGGTTCGGGCGACGCGGCTCGGTCAGGGCGGCGCGGCTCGGGCGGCGCGGCTCGGGCAGGGAGGGCGGCGCGACGGCGGGCCTATCGAAGGTGCGCGGCTGCGCCTAGGGTGCAGCTGTACGTGGGCCGCTGCTGCGTTCATGTGGGCGGCGGCGATCGTGCGGGCAGCGGGCTAGCACAGGCGGCGGCCTAAGGGGACGCGGCGGTGGCACGAGGCGGTCGACGAGCGGCTGACGGGCCGCGCTAAGGGCCGTGCGAGGCCAAAGAGGGCGGCGCGAGCAGCTGGCGGGCCGCGCTCCTAAGAAACAGGCCGCGCGCCGGCGGCTAGCGGGCGATGCGACCTAAAAACGGGCCGCGCGCTCGGGCATCTAGCGGCTGCACATGGGCAGCTGAGGAGAAAACGAGGGCGCACGAGGGCGCACTAGGAGCAAGGCGCACGAGGGCGCTAGGAATGATGGCGCACGAGGGCGATTCGAGCAGAAACGGTGGGCCCTTAGGAACGGTCCTAGGTTCCTAACCTAGGCTCATAATACCATGTTAGAATCAAAGAAGTGAATGAACTAGACAACATTGCAGTACAAGTATGAAACCCTAAGAGTTGTGTACCCCCTATAGGCTAACCCACTAAAGCCTACACAGCAATAACACATCTATAGTGTTTGACAGCTCTTGAGACCGAATTGGCAGCGCACAAGTTATGTGGACATTTGTCTGGAGATGCAACACCGTGAAACCTTCATCTCGTTAAATTTGTGTGCCCCAAAAGTGGCGTTCTGCAGGCTGAAGCGTTAAATTTGGCGCAAAAAGGTTTGGCAGGACCGCGCTTATCACCAAACCTTGATAGGTAGAAGCGCGGGAAGATTCTGCGGACCCAGTTTCTGCCAATTTAACGCCTGCAGAACAGCGCCTTGAGCGAGCTTCGTGGCAACACCCCTCAGGAAGGTTGAGAGGCATTTGGTGCGGCCAGAAGCTACAAGGAAGGACAAGTTCTGTACATTTAATGCGGAGGCAATAACGCCTACAGAACTGCGCCCTTATGTGGGAAACATTGCTGTGGTGACTCACATAAGGGCAATGCCCTTATCACCAAACCTTAGCGGCAAATTTTTGTTCGTATTAGAGATTCAGGAGTAGCAAGGGTGCACGTCTATACCTCTCGAGCGCGAAGGGGTGAGTTGTTTGCCCTCTCAATGGCCAACAGGGCGCGCGCCATATCGATTAACCATCTGCTAGACAATCTTCTTTTCAAAATTGTTTCACTTGCCTCCGCCGCCACCACCGCCACCGCCACCACTGCCGCCACTGCCTCCAGCCTCGCAGGATTGACAGCAGCAGCTGACACCGCGGATATCGGCCAGACCGGCGAGCCGAGGTTTACGGACGGCCCCGATCATAGCAACCTCGCTGTCGTTTGTAAGCAATGGATGCTTCTAATGACCACCCTGCGCGTCCATGGCGGTTTAAACTCACGCTCCGAGTGCGAGCTCCGCAATACCGAGCGGCTCGCCATGACTCCCTCCACCCCCGCGATCTGCGCGCCAGGGCTCTTCCGCGCGTTGGCGCTCGCGCCGAGCATCACGGCGCTTTTCTTGGAGGCGAACACCGTCGATTTTTACAACGACGAGTTCCTATCTGGCCTGCTTTCTGCACGCCCTCAGCTCGCCCGTGTGAGCATTGGCTCCCCACGCTTCACCGGATCGCCGCACTTTCGAATCAGCACGAGGGCTGCCGATAAATTCTTCTGCGTCGCGCCGTCGCGCCTGCAAGAGCTCTCGCTGCGCGAGTGTCTCGGCCACACAACGAAGCTTCCTGCTTCCGTCGCGTCGCTGACGTCGCTGCGCGTGTTCTGCCTGTGCTCCAAGGTTCTCCGCTCGTTGCCTGCCGAAATGTGCTGCATGTCTGCCCTGCAAGAACTTCATCTAAACTACACGTTGCTGCAGCAGCTGCCCGAAACTTTCGGCCGGCTAACGAGGCTGTAGCACCTTTCGTTTACGGACAGCACGGAAATGCGGCGCCTGCCGGATTCGCTCAGCAATCTCTCCTCGCTCACCTCTCTCCACGTCGACGGCTCGTGGCACGTTGGTCAGTTCCCGCCTCGCGTCGCCGCGCTGCAGCAGATGCGGCGACTGGAGCTGCAAAACTTCGATGGCGTGTTACCAGACGCATGCGAACAATAGGCGAATCTCGAGCAGGTCACTCTGGATTCGTGCGAAGACATGCGCACCTTCCAACTCGCGTCCATGCACTCGCTCACGCATCTCACCATCAGCGCATGCTTGGACCTCCACTCCCTCCCACCCAACCTGCCCTTCGCAACAGCATTGCGCCATCTCACTCTCACCTATCTCAACTTCGAAGTGTCTCTCGACCCGCTAAGCCATCTGGTGTCTTTGGAGCGGCTCGAGGTGTCAAGCGTCGACCACGAGGAGCGCTTTCCCGCCGCGCTCTTCGCACTGCCGTCGCTAGCGCACGTGAAAGCGGGGTACGTGTCGTGGGTGGAAGCAAACCACGAGGTGACCACGTGGGAGGATGTGAGGGAGCTAGCTGCGCTCCTGGGACATGTGGCGCTGAATCATGATCATCCCTCTGCTACCGCCCCCGCAGCAGCCACAGCCGCAGCCGCAGCCGCAGCAGGTGCAGCAAGCGATACCGCCAACCAATCAGCTTTCGGCCCATCTCTGAAGCATCTTATCATGTGCATGGGCACTCCCGGGAACGGCAGGCTTGGCGGCACACTCTCCACGCGTCTGTGCTTGCTGCTCTCCGTCACACACCTCTCCATCGTCTGCCTCACCTCCTCTTCCCACCTGCCCTCTTCCCTTGGTCATCTCACCAACCTTCGCTGGCTCTCCCTGCGTGGCACATGGCTCTGCCTGCCGCTCTCCCTCTCTCGCCTCGCCCCGTGCCTGCACTCGCTGAAACTGCACTACAGTGGCAGCACGACATCAGAATACTTACAGCGCGTGCTGCCTTCCTTTCTCTCGAATCTCACCTCCCTCACAAACCTCCACCTCCGCAACATGCACGTTCCGTTCCCTCGCCCTCCTTTGCGCGTCTGCACGCCCTCCACACGCTTCACCTAGAGTACCACAGCGGCTCCCCTAGCCACATGTCCCTTCTAGAAGACCTCGGCCAGCTGGCAGCCTTGGAGTGGCTGGAGCTGACGGGCTGCTCCTTGAAAGACAACCTTCCACAGTCCTTGTGTAACCCATCTGTCGAGAGTAAAGGGAAAGGTAATTGCACTATCGAGAAAGTTGGTTACAAGTAACAAAACCTATACCCTACATTAGCTACCCCACTAAAGCCTACATTTTATTATGATATAGACATATAGTTTGACACACCCCCATAGGCAAAGTGGGGGAGAACAAGGGGTCACAAAACCTGTCAAGAAAAGCAAAGCAAGCTCAAGGTGGATCACAACGTCACCACACACACCGAGCACAAGCAGAGGCCCATACGGCCAGTTCACATGCAGAGGTATATATGCAACAACAGCAGACCAGTGATCACTACCTAGCAAGAGAAAGCATGCAGGTATATATATGTAGATCACAGTACAAGAAAAGTCCACAGCAACTGAGGAAACGTGGGCACAAGGCCTAACAAAAAGCAGAAACGCTGATGATCACCAGACGGAAGTGCCTTGGTGAATATATCAGCAGTGTTGGCCCGAGTGGTCACGTGAACAAGACGAAGCTGACCACGTTGCTGCAACTCTCGAGCCAGGAAGTAATGCAGAGCGATGTGCTTCGTTCTGTGCTCCGGTCTGTGCTCCTGACAAAAGGCAATGGCGGCCTTGTTGTCGACGTACAGCACAGGAGGAGAACGAGGCCGCTCTCCCTCGTTGGTCAGCAGGTAGGTGAGCCAGCGTAACTCCTGTGCAGCCAAAGCTGTGGTGTAGTGTCAGAATGTAAAGTTAACTAAAAACAGAAAGTACAAACAAGATATATGCAAAACCTAGCCCTAGTGCAAGTACAAAAATAACACAAGGGAGAACACCTAGACTAGAACTACACAAGCTATAGAAATATAGTTTGACACACCCCCATAGTCTAGGTGACGGTAGTCCTGTAGAACAACAAGAGCAAGCAACAGTCACAAGACCAGTCCACAAGTGCAAGACAAATCTCAGGGTGGAGCTCAAAGTCACCACACACTCCGAGAACAAGCAAGGGGCCACAAGGCCAGTCCACATGCAGGTATATAGCAAATATATATAGATGCAAGAGTACAAGACATGCAGGACAAGGCATCTCTACGTAAGCAAGTGAGGACGGGCAGGCACAAGGCCAAGCTGGGTGCAGAAACGCTGGTGGTCACAAGGCGGCAACGCCTTGGTGAAGATATTTGCAGTGTTGGCCTCAGAGACCACACGGACCATGCGGGCCTGGCCACGCTGGTGCAACTCATGCAGAAGGAAGTAACGAAGCTGGATGTGTTTTGCCTTCCCAGCCAGTCGGGGCTCCTCACACAATAGGACAGCATACCTGTTGTCGGCGAACAAGACTGGGGGAGAGCGAGGCCGCTCACCAAGGTCGGTGAGAAGGAAAGACAGCCAACGAAGCTCCTGAGCGACCATGGCCGCGACGTACACCTCGGCCTCACAGCTGGAACCGGTGACGCACGACGCCCGAGTCGACCGCCACGAAACATCACCTGCCCCGAGGCCAAAGGAGTACCCCTGTGTAGATCGACGCATCTCCGCGTCGTCAGCCCACGACGAGTCCGAGTAACCTGTAAGTCTAACTGGCTGCTTCCCTCCAAGGACAATTCCCATGCCTGATGTACTCGCCACATACTTGTAGAGCCATTGGCCACTGACGACGTTCGTCCAAGGTGGTGGGACTGCGTCAACGTAAGTGCCTGTGGACCTATAAGATGCCATCTCTGCCTCCTCAGCTGCTATCCAGTACAAAGCCCAGGGTCCCAAGACCGCCTCGGCGTGAGTGCGAGGGATCGGGATGTCAAGGGCGTCTGAATCCCCCTCAGGTGCAAGTAGCATGGCGCAGAGATGAGGAACAACGGCCGCAAGGAAACCAAGCTCGAACTGCCTGTCCTCAAGGACCTCTAGGGGAAAGACAGGAGCACCCCCAGAGAACGGAGAACGAGCAGGGCCACTCACCACATGAGCGGCGTAGTCAAGGCGGTGGGAAGAGGCAAAGCCAGCGACAGTGGTAACAAGAGGTGAGACAGACGACAGAGGTGCAGTCGGGTGAGTGACCAACGCGGACAAAACACGGGAGACCACTGGACGGGAGGCACGGAGGTAGTCGGACAACGGGTCGTGAAGCACATTGAGGGACGACTCAGGGGGCTGTCGAAGGACAGGAGGAGGTGGAACACGCGAGCGAAGAACAAGGTGGAACGGACCGTCTGCACGGTAACGAGACCGACGACGCTCTGGGGACACAACACTTCTGAGGGGAAAACGACGAGTCCACTGGGACGGGGAAAGGGACTCAACAGGGGGAACAGGCGGGGACGGTAGGGGACCACGAACAAAGCGTGCAGGTGCTGGGTCGGGGAGGTCGCGTAGTCACAGTCGCTGCTGCTCCGCCTACTCTGACGTCTGCTGCGACTGTATTGGCCCCTCCTGCTGCTCCTGTGGCTCCGCCTCTGCCTTCTCCTGCTGCAACTGCAGCTGCACCCGCTGCTGCGACCGAGACTCTTGCACTACCCTCTCCTGTTGCGGCCGTGAATCCTCCTCTACTCGCTCTAGCTGGGTCTGTAAATGCACCTGTTGCTGCGAGTGGGACTCCTGCTCAACCCTCTCTTGGTGCGGCCGGGACTGCTCCTCTACTCTCTCCTGCTGTGTCTGTAACTGCACCTGATGCTGCGGGCGGGACTCCTGCTCTACCCTCTCCTGGTGCGGCCGTGACTCCTCCTCTACACTCTCCTGCTGCGGCTGTGACTCCCCCTCTACTCTCTCCTGCTGCTGCTGCTGCTGCTGCTGCTGGTGATGCTGCTACTGCTGCTACTGTGCCCTCTCATACCGCTCACGCTCCTCCCTCTCCAACCGAAGGAAACGCTGCTCACAGGTCAGGAAACGTACAGTGCGCGGTATAGGTGCCACAGTGCCAGTGCCTCCAGCTCCAGCACCCCCAAAACCATCACCTCCAACACCGACACCCCTGGGGCCTCCAGTACCTCCCGCAAGAACACCCCCAGGCTCCGCAGCAACCGGCGGCACAGAAGGACGAGGAGGAAACTGCGGAACGGACGGGAAGCCAGGGGGTGAGGCGGGGCGAGGCCGCTGACTCAAGGCTGCCGTGTCCTCCACAGGATTGACCTCCACGCCCGCAACCCCTGCATCCCCAGAACCGACACCACCAGCTCCTACAGCCCCAGTACCCTCACCCTGCGCAACTGCACCTCCCGCACCCCCTGACACGACAGGGACTGGACGCTGCGGGGGGGACGACTGCGGAGTGACGTGCGACACACCTGACGGGGCAGGACGCGAAAGGGGGGGGGCTACCGGGGCGACTTGGGGAGGCTCGAGGGTGAGGAACAGCGGGGGGGAAAAGACCTCAGTACCTTGCTGGGGGCGACTCCTGTAGTAATAGACAGACTCGTCGAACGTGACGTCCTGAGAAGCGAAGAACCCGCAGGTGACTGGGTCGTAGAACACCCAGCCGGAGGCGTCCAAAGGGAAGCCAAGAAAGACACAGGCACGAGTGCACGGAGACAGCTTGTTCGTGCCAGGGGCGCGAACGTGAGCCAGACAACCCTAGACGCGGAAGTCAGCTGCTACACCCTGTAAACTTGACCAGTGAGAGACCGGCGTCACCCGTGGCCGTGCGTCACTGGGCCACAGGTCCAGCTGGTGCGCAGCGTAGCGGACCGCCTGAGGCCACAAGAACTGAGGGGCACCGGCATGGCACATGGAGGTCCAGGCAACCTCCATGACCAGGCCGATGCGATGCTCGGCTACCCCGTTCTGTTGCGGCGAGGCTGGTAGCGTGTATGACTGAATGACTCCCCGACCCTGACAGAATGTCTCCAAACGAGTGGAAGAAAACTCACCACCACGATCCGAGTGTAGGCGAAGCCGACATAGACCCTGAGCACCACCCGACACTAGTAGCCACGGCTCTAGGACGGTAGGCACGTCGGCCTTCCGTTGCAAGGGGAAAACCGTGGTGTAGCGGGAATAGTCGTCCACCACAATCAGGAAGTAGCGCTCCTGACGTGGTCCAAGGACCGGGAAGGGGCCCCAGACGTCCAAGTGCAGGGTCTGGAAGGGAGCTGTGGTGGGGGAGAACGAGGAGGAGTGAGGGGCAGCGCGCTGCCGACCCTTGACGCAAGGAATGCACAGCGGCGCAGGCGAGCGAGGAAGCGGGGTAAGCGACTTTGGGAGACCTGAGACCAGACGGTAACGTGCCATCCTACTGAGACGTGAGAGCGACGGGTGACCAAGACGGTGGTGCCAGAGGACAGACTGATGGGTGAGGGAGCGACAGTCGCACAAGACAGCAGCTACCTGACCTGACCTAACCTGGCCTAACCCAGTGCGGTGGGACCCAGTGTGTAGTGAGTACAGACCACAGCCCGGCTCTCTGTGAAAAGTGGCCAGAGGGGCCCCAGTGGTACCGACTGTGCAGGAGGCAATAGGCTCATCTAGTGGGAAAGTGGTGACTACACCTAGGTCGTGGAGGTGACTTACACCCACCAGGTTCCTAGAGAACGAGGGGGTGTAGTAACCTGTAAGAAAACCTGAGGGAGCGGCCAGACACAGAAGAGTGGTGGTGCTGCGAGCAACTACACGTCCCACAGAGGGGTCAGCCAAGGTGACAGTGACTGGAGTGTGCAGTGGTGTGAGGTCGGTACAGTTGCGAAAGAAACAGCTAGACGCTTCAAAGTCTAGGGTGAAGGAAAGCTGTGCAGTCTGTGGGGTCGCACCCGAACCAGCTGCAAAGGCTAGTGCTAGACTAGTGGTAGCTGCAACTCCTACACAAAGACCCTCAGAGGCGCCTGGACTGGAAACAACACACGCACCAAGACTGGAAACACAGGTCTCTACTTGTGCAGCCGGGAAAGGTCCTAGACCAGGTAGGTGAGACTCAACTAGTGCAGCAAT